TGGCCGATAATCGCTCAATTGTTGCACGAAACCCTTTCGACGTGTTGATTCTCCGTCTCCTCGGCACGTCTATCCGTTTACAACGAAACGATTGGCACTGGAAAATAAATTACCAGATGTACTGTTATATACGTTATATACGTTAATATATATATATACGTTAGTGAAACGCCAATAATTTGAAATTCTTTTTCATGTCCATTGCAACTGAACGTGAACAGCTATATTAATCCTTCCCGTAGAATATTTAAACTCTTTTATTAATGATTACCTATACTGTAATATTATTGTTGCATGTGCCTATGCATGTTGTATAGCCCTGTTTTGTACTGTATTGCTCAGAAATTTTATTGTTTTAACTGCTCAATGAACACTATTGCATCTATCAGATTGTTTCTCCATGAAAAAAGACCGTGTTCATGTATTTGTATTTGAATTACATGCAATAAAGATGTAATAATAGTACTGTAATCATTTTGCTTTGTTTTTATTTATTATCAAGTAACTTCTCTTCTATTGTATCGCTAAAACGACCTGTTATTTTAAAATTCGGTTATCATATATTTACGTTGGACACGATTTTCGTTGTTTGTTTATTTGTTTAGCTAATGTGTTTTTCATGTTAATTACAGCATTAATCACATGCTACTATGATAATTTGGTGATTGAGTTGCAATGTTTAACCGTAACCCTACTCTTAGGAGTGGCAGACTTAATTCGATGTCCTGCGGGTCCTTCGCCACTCCTGTGCTTAATCTGATAATTACGTACTATAACGTATTTTATTTACATTTGTGCCGCTGTACATATATACCGTTATAATACTAATTGTGCACAAATAAGCATTTGTTGCATATGAATTTGAATTATTATACGTCTTGAACAACGAGCAAGTCTGGGTGGCCGCGCTATAAATCAATAATTAATACTGCATTAACTTACGTCAGGTTCGTGTTAATTCCAATAATGCGCCTTTCAAGTTATCACAGGTAAAACTTCGACCACAAACACACAGAGACAAGATGGCGAGGATGGTTCTGTTCATTTTTGTATTGAACGCGAGAAATCTCGCGAGAAAGAGGCCCTTCACGTCGTGACGAAACCCGATGTAAATCAGGTATTACAGTACCGCACGATATATCCATCTGGTTAATCCACATATGCGCACTTTATAATTATTTTCACACTAGATGGCGCTAGAATGCCAAAATTTAACAGCATTTCTGCATTCGATATTGCTCCCACTCCCACAAAAGGGTGCATTCATACACATCATCAGGAGTGTTATAACGATATAGTCTATATTATGACTAAATGATTATATAGGGGTACTACTATATAAAGATATACGAGGTCTATATGACTATATAGAGTCTATATAATTATTATGACACTCCTGATATCACAGGGGTTAATAATGACAAATATTAATTTGTCATAATCAACATAAATTATTAAAATTTCATTATTAACCCATGATATAAATATATAATATATATATATATTTATGGTAGATAGATTAAAACAGACATCACGTTTTTGCTGTACTCAGAGTTTCACGCCTTGCGCGATCATGTCGCATGAATCGCAATGATCGCGCAGGTGAAACTCTGAGTAACAGCAAAAGTCGATGTCTTGTGGTTAATCTATCTACAATATATTACGCTCTGGGCCATATTAATGGCATGAGCACTGTGTACAGTATGTGTCGGACAAAAGCATAAGATGTATATATAATTGTAGTATATATATATATATATAATATGATATATTATAAATAAATATATATATATATATATTTAGTTTACAAGATAGAGACAATCTGTCATTTTTGTTTTTTATTATTGGTGTATAAAAATGTGAGATCGTTTATGACAAGGTAAAGTTTTACACAAGTAAAAGATCAATTATTACATCGTAAATTAATTATATGACAATTATAAGAGGTATACCTTGAATAATTGTTATTTTTGGCTAAATGTCAAAACCAAAATATGACGTTTGCTGTAGCTGGTCGAAATGCTCTATACAGAACAAGAAACATGATATTTGACCTTGATCAAAATTGTCGCACAATTTTTTCTGGCAGGCAAAATAGGTAAATAATCCGTTAGGTAACAAGTATAAACAGTTCATATACTAACGTACGTTAGTATTAACAATTTCGCTAAATAAGTTTAACGTTAGACGCATATACCTCAGCCAGGTATTTATGAAATACATTCTAAAGACACACGCTTAGTTTTCGCTTGCCTGACCAAGAGCGACGAACATAATATTGCTATTGAATCCCAGTTAAACTAAATTTCGCAAACTATTTAACGTTAAATCACACACCTCAACCAGAGTATACTGAAACGACATTCTAAAGGCCAACGCCTAGTTTTTCCCTTGGACTTGACCAAAGACGAACGAAGATAATCATGGCTTATTCAATCCTCAGTTAAATTAAATTTCCGCAACTAGTTTAACGTTATAATCAAAACACTCAACAACGGTATTATAAACAATCTCTAAGGACACGCCTAGTTTTACCGTGGCCTGAACCAAGACGTACGAACATAATCTAGTATTAATCAATTAAATTATATTTCCCAACAAGTTTGATTTGATCACAGATCCATCAAGTTTTAATCACGAGTGTGAATGAGAGTAACTTAATAGTAGTTCTTCATTTTTCAAGCTTCATTCTATTGAAGACAAAGAATTTTGAAAAAAGGGGGGACCCGCGTGTTGAGAACCACACGTTACTGCACGATGGCAGCCTTTGCATCCGCTCTGCATCATCGCCATGGTTACTACATGGCTTGTACAGCCTCATAACATCTCTGCTCATTCCGGTCCACGGCACGGTTGTCATGGAAGAGCACTCTGCCAATCATCGCCATTGGCTTACTGCATGGCTGTCAGCCTCATCATCATCTCTTGCCATCATCACGGTTACTTGCGCGGTTGTCATAGATATCTGCATCATTGCCATGGTTAGCATGGATGTCAAGTCCTCAGTCAATCATCTTCTGCATCATAACGGTCACTGCACGGGGTTTTCCACAGCGACCTCGAGGCATCCTCTCGGCATGTCCACGTTCGGCCTGTACGCCTCAGCTGGTCCAGTACTCGGCACGTGTTAGCAGGCCTCACGCATCGTCGCGCACGGTTACCGCACGTGTAGCAGCAGCTCGGACGGTACGCACGTGCACCATCACCACCTCCCAAGCATCGCGCCGAGGCCAAGGGTGAGTAGATTTGGATGCTAGTACTGGTTGCTGATCGCTCGGTGTAGACGCCGCACGGCGTAGCAAGGCCTCAGCATCGTCGCCTGGTTCACCACAACGTGTTAGCAGCCTCAGCATCGATCGCCAGGGGTTACGCACGTGTAGCAGCCTCAGCATCGCGCCACGGTTGACCGCACGCCTGCTAGGCAGCCTCAGCGATCGTCGCCACGGTTACCACACGTTGTAGCGCCTCATCATCGTCGCCACGGTTACCACACGTGTTAGAGCCCACATCGTCGCCACGCGTTACCCGCCACGTGTAGCAGCCTCGAGCGAGTCATCGCCACGGTCTTACCAGCACGTGTAAGCAGCCTCAGCATCGTCGCCCACGCGTTACCGCGCACGTGTTACGAGCCCCAGCATCGTCGCCCACGGCTTAACCACACGTGTAAGCAGCCTCAGCATCGGTCGCCACGGTTACCGCAGCGTGTACAAGCCTCAGACATTCATCGCCACGGTTACCGCACGTGTAGTCAGCCTCAGCAATCGTCGCCACGCGTTACCGCACGTGTAGCAGCCAGCATATCGCCAACGGTTACCGACGTGTAGCAGCCTCAGCATCGTCGCCACGGTTACCGCACGTGTAGCAAGCCATCAGCACCACCTTCTCCCAGACTCGCGCACGAAAGGCCAGGGTGGAGTAGGAGGCAGTACTGGTTGCTGATGAAGCTCGGTGTCAGGCGACGCCACGGCAAAGCTCCCCACCAAACTTCTCAGACAGCGCTGCGACCGGCCGACGCCTGAAAGAATAAATGTATATAGCCAGATAATGGTATGTAATAAATAATGTATATATAGTATAGTATATATATATATATATAGTATTATTATTATATATATTGGTGTGTTGCAAGTATATCTTTATGTAATTTTAACTGCTCACCACTATAGTGCATCTATCAGATTTCATCTCCAAGAAAAAGATTGCCTTCATTACATGTAATTGCATTTGAATTTTCATGTAATAAAGGTTTAATAATAATAATAATAATAATAATAATTTAATAACCTTGTTCTGAACAGTCGTCGCACGGTGGCTGCATTTTTGAGGCTCACTCGCGGGTCTCCCGTCGCCACGAAAACGATGTGGAAGCGAATGCCGGCGTCGGAGCGAAAGCCGGGTGCGAGGTCAGAGGTCACGCTAGAGGTCGCGCTAGGGGTCGCACTAGGGGTCCCGGTCAGTGCGGTGGGATAGACGAATCCACTCTCACTGATGAAGCCTACAACGGACAATTTACGGGGAGAAAAACATTAGAAATGTTTGAGAATTCGCGCTTGCGATGATACGATATATAAATCCGATATTAACAATAAAGTAAAATTACGAATGCCCGTTGATCGTGATATTGTAGTAAATAAGATATAATTTTGATAATATTATATGTATACATATAATATATAATTGAGAACTGCTGTATTATGATAAAACGATGACGCCTAAAACGGACAATGCATGTGCAAAAAAAAATAACGTACATGCAAGTCGGCGGCCATGCTTTTTTCTCCAAGAACATTCAAAGACGCTGCAACTCGTGTTAGCAGAACAATTTCAAACGCTAGGCAACGGGAGATGCCCGACGACCGAGAACGAAAAACAAGTGGGCATCGATCTTGCTCACGCAAAAAAGTCGCCGGCACTTTCCTACCTGGTGCAGGAGGAGCTGGTGCACCGAAGGGTCGACCAATCGGCGCTGCAGCTCCCTTCCTGCCGCCAAACATGACGCCGTGACATGACGCACGAGGAACGCCGGCGCCACCTGCCTGCGGCCACACTGGCGCTGTCGTCGCAGGTCCACCAGAGCCCCCTGGTGGGGGCGGCGGCGGCTGGGCACCGAGCCCCCCAGAGGAGGCGCCACCGGCAGCGTGGTGCGTTGCACCGAGGAGCGAGCTCAAACCGAATGTGCGGTGGTTGACCTGCAGGTGGCGCCACTGCCCCAAAGGTGAACCCCTACGCGCCTTTGCCTAGAGGAGGCCACGCTGCACCGAATAGTCCACCGCCGCCGCCACTGCTGGCTCCACCTATAGATGGCGTGGGAGTCGGCGCCGCAGCGAGCAATGCAGAATCTGCACAGACAATGTCGCATTCGTCGTCGGGGACGTCGGCTGCCTCCGCGCGGATACGTTGCCGCGACGACGCCATCTTCTTCTTATGGTTGCGTTCTTGCTTGCCGCACGTGTCACATTCTGCTGCTGCTGCTGACGACTAACGACGACCGTCACCGCGGCAACGACGGCGAACGTCCTATATCATCGCGCGTCTCTACGGCAACG